CATTACTAAACGAAGTTTTAGTGAACAATAAAATCCCAACAGCATTTTGGTTGGTAGATTTAAGCTTCGATAGTAGGATTATGATTGTGGTTTTAGAGTTTTAATTTTGGTTTTCAATATTTAAACAATCAAAATTAATAATTAATAATTAAAATTAATAACCTACTAGATATAAAATTTTAAAATTAATATCTAAAACTTCAAAATTAATTATTATATAGAATTTTCTAATTTTATTCTAGATTTTTAAAATTTTATAAAACCAAAACCAAAATCAAAATTAATTCGAAAAATACTAAATAAAGTTTTAGTAATGATACTTATCTTTTTATACAATGATAAAACTATCAAAATCACCTCCTTTTTTGTTATGAATCTCTCTTCTTTTATTATATGAACCTATTTTTAGAATGATTTGCTTTTGACAGGATCAAAAATATATTAGTCTCAAGATATGTATAAGTTGATTTGAAGACATTTTGAGCGTTAAACAATAATAATAATAAAAAATCGACCTATCCTTTCTCCACCTATTTTCTCCTTCTACAAAACCTACATTCACATTCTTCATTTCATCTTTGGCCGTTAACTTTATTTTCGATGGCTCTTAAACACCCTCACTGTTTGAGCAGCTTCATGAACCCACATGTAGAGATCTTCAATTGCTTCAACACTTGAAAAACCCGAAGATGTTTCCTTAAGAATATACTCAGATACCTAAGTTAGCAATACTCAATCTCTTAGAAAGAGAAGGTCTCAAGGAGAGTAATTGTAGAAAGAGAAGCGTAGATGAGTTATTACCTCGAACAAAAGTAGGTGGGGGTATTTATAGAACCCTTGTGATGACATAAGGCCACATGTATCATTATCTAGTTAATCCACATGGAACCACCCACGTGGGTGTGTCTACGTCAATGTGTGGATGCGTCCTCATTCGAGGCTGTTTTAGGTTTTGGGGTGAATAATTAGGTCTACTGTACAAGGTTGAATGTTGAGTTTATTCCCAACACTCACCATCACCTAGACCTCACCTTTGCCCTTTTCTTTGACTGTTTTCTTTATTTGGATTATTATCGAGTTTGCATCTATATATCATGAAGTCAATAGGAGGCAGAGGGGTAGTCCAACAGCCAAACACATCCCAAATTTTTAGCTATATATATATATATATAATTTTAAAGTTAAAATGCACCCCAACAACCTGCAAAACAGGTTGAGAAATGCTAGTTGGTCTAAAAGTGTAGACACGATAAACCAAAAATAATAAAAATTCTAACATGTCTGGTACTGGAGTGTATGAGAGAGACCGCATTATCACATAACTACATTTTAGCATATGAGTACTTGGCACAAGAATAGATACCAAAATATCGGTTTTGGCAAGATTCAAAATCTCATTATGATGAATTCGATTGTTAAGTTCATTACTTAGGTTAGTAACACTTAAGATATAAAAATAAATTGAGAGAATTCACTCTAAAAAAACTTACTTAAAACAAAAGAGAATTGAAATTTGATTAATTGATAAAACTTATGCATACAATGGGGGAACATAGCTATTTATAGGCAAAACCCAACTAAGGCAATAAATGAAAAGCAAAATGCAGTTGGGAGTTAGCCATTTTCGTAGACTTTGAGTGGCCATTTTTGCTGATTTTAGTGGTCATTTTGACAAAGTTGCACTGACCTATTATAATTGGTGGTGCTGCAGAGTAGCTTCTGCATCCTTCCTGCATTTTTCCTGGTGCAGTACTAGTAATTATTATTATTATTTTTTAGACCAGATGCAACTGGCCAACATTATTTGGGGAGAAAAAAAAAAAAAAGGGAAACACAAAACGAAACACACGCACGCAGTGATGTACATTTTTGCTAATGCTCTTAGTTCACTTCGTAACAGGCTGCAGGAAGCCGTGGGATTATAAGGACTTCAAGTGGAGCAGCTTTATCAATTGGTTGGTCTAACAAGGTTGAAATCTCAAATCCGTGCACCAAATTAGCCAGTGTAAGCTGCATAACTTGAATCGCAAGGTTGATCTCAGGACGTTCCACTCCTCTATTCTCAATCAATCTAAATGGAGGAATTGGTTATACATTTAATATTTTTAATTTAAAAAAAAATAAATATACAAAAAATATTTTATATCAATTATTTTTTTAATTAATAAATTTTAAAATTTTTATTTTTTTTTAAATTATTTAATTAAATAAAAATATTATTATTTTTCTCCTCCACTATTTTTTATTCAAATAAAATTAATGTCAATACCCTTTTTCCCTTTCACTTCTCTTATTTCCATTCCCCCTCCTGTCCCTTCCCTTTTCTTTACTAATTTTTATTAAAAAGTACATTTGATTTATTGAAATAAAAGGAAAATATTCCTCCCACTACCAAACGGTATTAGCTCAAAATTCTTACCTTTAACGTCAACCTCCCTATTACTCACCAGAAATCTTTCTGGTTCGAATTCATCAGGATCCATTCACATGGACGAGTCGCTTTGAATTTTAGGAAGATCATCAGGGGACCTCTTCAATCCAAAAAGGGAAGAGGAACCCTGTCGTTACTTTCTGAGAACCCTAACATTCATGTTACTGCTTAATTGAAGAGCATTGTCCCTGGATTCTGCTCGATAAGCCACCTCAATAAGTTTATCAACAATTAAGAACGAAAAAGAAATCAGAAACAATTCTGGAGATTTGAAATTAAGGTTAGATTTTCAATCTTAGTGTTTTTTTTTTTTTCATTTTTCCAAAATTGTTTTTTCTGATTGAGGGATCTGGAAGACGCAGTTACAGCTTACCCAAATTAGTTATATAATCTGCTATTGTTTTTATTTTGAGTAATTTTTAGATGCGGAATTGTTTCGAATGTAACTCTTACCGGAAATGCCTGCAAGATGCGCGACGAAATGACTGTGTAAATTGCTTAGTTTTGTTTAAGTCACGCCCCAATTTAGGGGTTAGGACAAGACAATGCCACATACCTTTAGGAGTGACCCTAAAAGCGTGTAAGGCTAAGTCAGTCTCTAAAATTCATCCCTGTAGCTTTGCATAAAATTTATTCTTCACTTTTAAGAAAATTAATAGAAAAATATATATATGTCAATAATACTCCATCATCTAAAGCCAATTCTACACCAAGAATCTCAAGTATAACTAGCACTAAATTAAAATCTATTTATTTCAAATGTCCACAAATGCTAAGCATAATAGGAAAGAAGTAAATAATCTATTTCTAAGGTGGCTCTTTATTCCCCTGCATCCCAGATGCTCTATGTTTAGTATCTGAAAACATTAAATAAAACAATGTGAGCTCCACATGCCCAATAAATAGCATACCCAACTAGTACGACCAAGCATAATTATCTTACTTAAAAAGTGATAGAAATTAAATAATGAAATTATATTGGATGAAACAACTATAAAGAACTCATCAGTAAAACAATTTCTCAATCCCACATGGTTGTGGCACATGAATATCAACTGGTCGTTCGATACTCTATTACGTCAAGATAAATAAAAAAAATGAACTGTTCAATGGTCTAACACAGTTTACCGTTCGATAGTCTAACACGGTTTACCGTTCGATAATCTATTACGGCACGATAATCTAAAATGATTCCCGACTCAAACAACTACCATCAGAAACCCTCGAGGCAAGGTTATCCAACGATTCCATGTAAAACAAGTTACCTTAATTTCAAATAAAATTCCAATTCCAAAGTCTCTATATCACAAAAATATCAAATCCCCTCATCTCAAATAGTTGACAACCAACATGCTTAATCCACATTTATTAAAGAAAGAAAATAATAAATAAATATACACATAAACAAGCAAATGCATTCCAAAGGAATACCACAAGGAAATAGTTAAAAAAAATACTTAGATTTCAAATAAATTAATTTCACAATAACAAGTGAAAGAATAATTTATTTTTCCAGCATTTCTAGAAAGGGTATTGCCACTTACCTCAGTTATTGACTTGGCACTAGTGAATGCAAAGCCAAGAATTACTTAGACCTTTTTACCTACAAACAATTGTTCATTTCAGCCAAATTCCACACACTGTATGCCTCCAATTATTAATCAACATATTTCCAAAAGTCCCTACTCAATTCGTCACCCACTAAGCAGCTTTCCCTCTTTTACAATTTTTGATATAATAAAATACTCATTGAATTTCAAACATCAGCCATGAAAGCTTCCCCACTTGTTTGGCCCGCCAAAGAAGAAATGGACAACCACAATAAAAATTCAATATACCATGCTAAACTTGCAAGTCAACCTCATAAGACTACTTTAGACAAGTCAATTTCCATTAACTTAACAACCCAAATAAAACCCAAATCCCTCTTCGACAGA